AACCCCCCCCCCCCCCCTCGCCGTGTTTCCACGATGGTGGGTAAAATTGAACCTGGCTTTTAAGGTCCCGAAAGGGGCAGCTCTCGTACGAGTAATATTACCACGGGGTATACATGTACGGAGTAGACGCTCCCATGATTACCACCTCTCGTAGTACCTATCGTACTAGTAGTAACCTCGACATTTAACAACGTTACATACTCGTACAATGCAATGCAAGAGTCTTCTAATATTCCACCCAGCGAATGACGGAATGACGGGGCTCTGCTCTTCCATTTTGTCGTACGAGAGTGGACGGCATCTTTTTATCTCTTGCAAGGCTACATGTATACCTGTATACTACTACCCCGATAGACACGGGAACGGCTTCCGCGTGCATCGTACGTATGGGGAGTAATGCTGCTATGATGCGCATCGAAGAGGTGATCACCGTGGCGGAAGCTCGCTGGTAGTCTATAGTACGGCGTAATACCAAGTAGGAAGATTGGCCGTTGCTCATGGCTAGGCTGCAGTATTGCCACACAGGTTTAAGGGCAAAGCATCGGGAGAATACATATATATATATAACCCCAAAAAAAAAATTCCAAAAAGAAAGGAGAAGAAAAGAAGGCAAGGAAAGGGTGCGAGTAATTCACATGTAATACCTTACTCTTTACCTATGTTGAATAGTGCGCCAACGGTCCCCGAGAGATGCCCGTCCCGGTACATATTCGCGCAATCTCCACCCTACCAGCAACAGCAGCAGAGACGTGAAAGGTGCAGACAAGGCCAAAAAAAAAGTCGGGATGCTTAAGACCCCGAGATTGGGGGGGGGGGGGGGGGGGTGAGGTGAGGTGACGCAAATATGTACCAGTACGGAGTATTGAGCAGTGATAACAATAGCAGCACCAGCAACCATCACCAGCAGGAACAACCTGGCCATACGAAACCATACACGAGGGTACCTTTGGTAATTAAAAAGTCGTCGTGGATGGGAAGTAGACGGCAATAACCCGATCCGTATGTGCATTACAGGGACTCTATCCACTGTCAAGGCGTATCGACTGCCCTGGAAGGACCGGTGTGCCCTGAAAGGTGCCCTGGTGATGGGGTTTTGCTGGGCTCCATGCCCGTCCCCCCCGATCCATCAATCCCCCTTCCATGGTCGGATTGCCCTTAACGGCCAAGGGGGGCCACTATATAGGTCATCCATCCACTGGAGCGCAGCGTGCCCTCATCCAGTACGGGGCGCTGTACACCAGATGCCCACGGAGAGGTACCGTGCGCCCACTGTTGCCTGTACCACGCGGGCAGCCCAAGGGGAACCCAAGGGGAAATAAGAGAAGAAAGAGTGTGTGTGGAGGGGTCCAGATCCCCCGACCAACTGCCCTGAACGTGTCTAATGGACCCTTGTAAGGGTTCTGT